TCTGAGGCCCTGTAGCTTAGAGCGCTGCAGAACAGGGGGGTGCTGGGTTCATAAATGAATAAGAATCTCCAAATGAGTTTGCTGACCTCTTAAACTCCATGAAATTAATATAAGCAGACATCCTGGATGCTGCAGGGCTGCTGCTGAGCCGGGGGAAGATCACTTAAGCTCTCAGAGTTTCCTGAAACTTTTATAAGCTGACTTTTCAAGACACATTGTTGCGTTTTATTGATGGTGGCAGGGAGCAATAGATAGGCAGATAAACCTTCAGTGACTTCACTTAACCCCTCATATAAGAACGGGAAATTCAGGCATCACAGCATGTGGCTTCTCCTGCTTTCCGACTGCTGGAAACACAACTGTTCGACCCTGCGTCCTTGATTTGAGCATCCCACTTGCTTCCTCTAAGCCTATGAAAACAAACACAGCTTTGGTGGAACAAACAAAACAAAGGTGGAGGGGTTTTTGAGACCTGGTGTTTGACGGTTGACAGTCAGCTCATTTTCTTATCTGTCACAGACCCAGGGCTTGCAGCAGCTATCGGCATTGTAATGCTGAAACATAATGTTTACTCTGTCTTTAGTGAACGCATCTGGGATGCATTTTGCTAAGCCAGTGAATGGTGCCAACAGGCTTTTTATGTCACACTTGAGAGTGGACAAAACAAATTATACAAATGTAAATAAAAGGAGCTTAAAGCCTGAGTGTAATCAACTACTTCAACAACATGACTTTCATTTGCATGTGTAGTGCATCTTTAAAAACTGTCGGCATGCTCTTTAGTGTGAGACGGACAAACTTTTTAATTGTTTTTCTATATACACAAGTTCAATGAAAGGGATAGTTCACCCAAAAATGAAAATTCTGTGCACACACTAGTGAAATTGCTACTCTTCAATGGTTATAAGACGTCACAAAAACAGAATTCATCAAATTACACAGCTCTCTACAATACTTGATTCTGATTTTGACATTTTGAGGTGATTTATTCCCAGAGGTGTAAAGTATTGGAGTAAATGTAATTAGTTACTGTACTTGAGTATCTTTTCGGGTACTTTGTAGTTGTACTGAGTATCAAAGATATTAGCAACTTTTACTCTTTACTTCACTACATTTTTGAATGAGTATCAGTACTCTTTACTCCACTACATTTGAAATGAGTGTTGCAGTTACACATTACATTTTTTCCTGCAACAGTTTATTTCTGCTACAAAAGACGTGACACTGCCTATTACAGGTCACTGAAAGTACTGCATCTTCTGCGTTTTGCCCTTACTCACCCACACTTTTCAACAAGGCTACTTTATGTGAATGCGAGTTCCTTAGCAAGTATTTGTGAATCACAGGTGTTTTATATATGAGATGAGGACATGACTGCAGCCGGCAATGAGGCCCAAACCAGCACATCCAGTGCAAGAAGGCTTCAGCTTTTTAATTTTACTTAACATTATTTTATTTATCCATTATACTGAAGAGACCTTTTTGAAGGATATTGTGTTGTTTGTTTGTTTGTTTTGTAATTTTGAGGTGTTCAGTTTCATTTTGGTTTTAGAAAATAAACGTGATTGCTCTCCTCACAAATCAACTCTTTCTTGTTTTTGTTACATGTTGTCTGTGCCTTGCCCTGGATTTTATGTCACTTCCTGTCTCCCGTGGTATTCGTAGTCAGTTTGTAGTCCGTTTGTTCATTGGTTCCCCTTGATTAGTCTCCTCAGGTGTGTCTTATCTTGTTAAGGCCTGTTCACACTAAGGATGATATCTATAAAGATAGCGATACATTTATTAGAGCGTGTTGAGTCACAGGTTAAAATACTACATAAAGTTTCCTTTACAGATTGGTGAAATACAACTCTATAATTTAGAAACAAAACATGTTTAGATTAATGGAAATTGTTTGATGGTTATGAATGGTTGAATTTTAGATGCTAAAACTCCCTGAGATGGTTACAGAGATGTTTCCAGTGTTTCCATTTCCAAGAATTGAGCACAATAGCTAAAGAGTAACATTTGTATTCAGATGAGTACATGCATTGTCATATGTACATTCTGAAATATAACTTTTTAATTCAATGTTGAATGATTATGAACCCACATTAACCCAATTATCAAAATGAAGAGCAACAGTAGATGGCAGACTTAACTTATTGAATGCGACATTAGAGTTGGAGTTCGTATTTCCAAATAATTTGATCTTTGCCACAAGATATTATATTGACTCAGCCGCCCTCCAAGATTAAACTCTTGTTTCAGATTGCAAATATTAGAGCTAAAATAAACTCCTCTGGATGAAGACATAAATATCGAACAGCTCAAAATCAAAACTATCTATTTCTAACCCTGCCACTGTTCATAGGAGTGAAAATGTTGTTTTGTGACTTTCAGATCATTTGCTCTGTAACGGATAGACAAGGCATGAAATGAATGCTCTAATAACTTATTTCATATTTACATTCATAAACAATTTTTGTTTTAACAAAAAAAAAAAAAAAAAAAAATTTTAACAAAAAGGGCACATTTCTCTGGATGAAGACATAAATATCGAACAGCTCAAAATCAAAACTATCTATTTCTAACCCTGCCACTGTTCATAGGAGTGAAAATGTTGTTTTGTGACTTTCAGATCATTTGCTCTGTAACGGATAGACAAGGCATGAAATGAATGCTCTAATAACTTATTTCATATTTACATTCAAAAACAATTTTAGTTTTAAAAAAAAAAAAAAAAAAAAACAGTTTCAACAAAAGTGCACATTGTTTAAAAACAAAATGATTCTCACAAAATCTTTATGTAAAACTTGGATTTTGTTTGGCATCTTAACGTTGAAAGTATTCTGGTTTTAGCTACTACTTTCCACTGTGAAAAGCTCATCTGTGCTTGGTGAAAGTACATTCATCACAGAAGTGCCAATGAGATACATGACTGAACTGAATGAAAAGTGCTTTTTGTTGACTGCGCAGGATACTTGAGGAGAAGCTGGGACATTGACCGAATAATGAGCAGCACAGTGGATGATCTATTTATGTTTTGAACAAATACTTTCTGTAACTGTTGTGACTCGTCTCCATCGGTCCTCTCTGAATATATGAAGTGATAGAAGATAAAACTGTATAAGATCATATTAAAGGAATGGTTCACCAAACAACAACAACAAAAAATTGCTGAAAATGTACTCACCCTCAGGCCATTTAAGATGTAGACAATTTTAGTTTTAACAAAAAAAAAAAAAAAAACAGTTTCAACAAAAGTGCACATTGTTTAAAAACAAAATGATTCTCACAAAATCTTTATGTAAAACTTGGATTTTGTTTGGCATCTTAACGTTGAAAGTATTCTGGTTTTAGCTGCTACTTTCCACTGTGAAAAGCTCATCTGTGCTTGGTGAAAGTACATTCATCACAGAAGTGCCAATGAGATACATGACTGAATTGAATGAAAAGTGCTTTTTGTTGACTGCGCAGGATACTTGAGGAGAAGCTGGGACATTGACCGAATAATGAGCAGCACAGTGGATGATCTATTTATGTTTTGAACAAATACTTTCTGTAACTGTTGTGACTCGTCTCCATCGGTCCTCTCTGAATATATGAAGTGATAGAAGATAAAACTGTATAAGATCATATTAAAGGAATGGTTCACCAAACAACAACAACAAAAAATTGCTGAAAATGTACTCACCCTCAGGCCATTTAAGATGTAGATGAGTTTGTTTCTTCGTTGGAACAGATGTTGAGAAATTACATCAAGCATTACATCACTTGCTTACCAATGGATCCTCTGCAGTGAATGGGTGCCGTGAGAATGAGAGTCCAAACAGCTGATAAAAACATCACAATAATCCACAAGTAATCCACACATTTCCGATCAATCAATTAACATCTTGTGAAGTGAAAAGTTGCGTCCTGCTGGTCTGAGGGCGAGTCATTTTCAGCAAAATTTTATTTTTGGGTGGACTTTTCCTTTAAATGCCCATTCAACCAAACAAAAAGTCAGAGTCTATATTCTAAAATTATTAAAGAAAGAGTAACAGACATGTTTTATGTTGAACATTTTTAATTTAGAGTGAAGGAGGCCTGCATGCTGTAGCGTTGTAGAGGTTTACATTATATTAAAATACAGGTTAACATCTTTCATTTTAGGTTACTCTTCATTTTTTTTTTTTTATCAGTGATGCATTTCAGAGGGTAACAGCTGGCTGTGTGATGGCCACATGCTAAATAATTCACACTTCTTATAAATATTGCACATTCACACTCGGATAAAATCTCACCCGAGATATCTCTTTGGGTTCAGGGCACTCAGAGTTCAGGCGGCTCCGCCAGTCCAATAATACACTTTATGGGACTACTGAGACACAGCAAGTTAAATACACATATTGTGAGTGCACTATTGTGAGGTAGGTCTTCATCTTATTTATGCTCATTTGGGTGCAGTACTGTATGTGGATGTAAGTTTAATGAAAATGTAGAAGTACATCTTTTTAGACTGGTTGACGCTTATGTTTTCATTTGCTTCCAAGTGGAAAGAGTAGTATGACATTTTGTGAACTGATGCGATGTGCAGAACAGATCATGAGCAACAATGATTAGCTTTGCTTATTTAATCTATGACGGTAACATTTCTGTTGCAAAATTTGTTAACTTGTATATCTGGCGAAACATTTTTTATTTATTTTTGGTTAATTCATAGTTCATTCTTTGAAAAATGCACAACAGAATGCAGCAGTACAGTAACATATAAATTGTGTCTTTGAATATCAGAAAAGTAATTGAATACACATAATAAATGCAACTGTGAAAAGTGTAATTATATAATCCTTCAATAAAACCAAATAGTTTATGATTGTGAAAAGTGTTCTTTACAGTTGTGTACTTTTTCTGAAACTCATTGTTGATGTTAATTTTAACATCAGTATCATATAAAGTGTGTGTACCTCTGACACTGAATAAGGAACAATCTAGTTATGCCACTCTAAACTTTCCCATACAAAGGAAAGGCCTCTGTGACAGGTGAGAACATCTGTGCTACCGCAAAATTTTATTTTTGTTTTTTTTAATGGCTGGGAGTTTCTGCTTATTATATTATACTCACACTAAAACTAGTAAGAAGTAGACCCAAAGCAACCCCTTATAATATAAAGAGTTCAGTGCATCAGTGCTAAATAAATAAACAACCACAGTATTGAGACATTATGATAACAAATTAGGGACAAATAGGGACAAAAAATAGGGACAAAAACTGTGCAGTGTATTCCACCCTTCGGGCAGTCTTTAGAAGTCCGGTCAACATTGCAGTTTATTCTGGCCAGTAATCAACCAGTTAGGCAGTCTGTCCTGTCGGTGTGAGTTAGAGTTTTGTTTTTATGTGCAGTTTATAGACTGCTTTAAATAGTTGATATCATAATCACAGATGGAAAAGTACAGGAAAAACAGCAAAAAAAAAAACAAGTTGCAAAGTGGATAAATCTTGTCAATAGTCTGGCTGTGTTTGACTACCGCGTTCAGAACTTTGACACAAGCTCATGATCAAAACAAACATTTCACCTGCAATCCGTAATGTAAAAATAAAATAAAAAAGTACAATGTAATTAAGGCACAAGGTGGTTATTTGGTCTCCTCCACAAAAGAACCTTGGCTAAAAGCTTACTGTTCACTTGGGCAAATCTGCAATGTAAAAAAGGCACCATAATATGACAAACTATTAAAGGTGTAACAGGAAGAAAGGAAGGATGAAGAAACGTCCCACCTCTGAATAAGGAGGAGGAGGCTGGAGGTGGAACTGCTGAATGCAAGCGAATGCTGAGCCATCTAGCAGCCAGTCTGGTCGTGATTGGCATGTTGAAGTTCTGTGCTCCTCAAACTGTTCCTCTGACACAACCTCTGCATAGCTGGGAGGGGCTGTCAGGAAATATTACCATTAAAATCAAAGATGAAAATAAGCATATACCAAGTATAACATATACACTGCATGCAGCAATCAACCCCTTATTAATGATTTGACATAAAAGTGGAATTCACTGCATTATTAATTTTGCACCATACCTTCAGCTACGTCTGGAAGGGTAAATGTGGGGTATAGCAAGCTCATGTTCACAATGGAACGACTGCTCATGCCATGACCACTGGTACCGATCACCACTGGAAGTTGCACTTCTAGATTTTTGGCACCTGGTATCTGAACAATAACCTTGAGCAAAGAAACAAACAACAAAGATACAACCATTCATATAAGGGAGTTTATTTATATGTAGCTTGCTAGCTAGTAGATGTTACAAAAAAGATTAGCATTTGATGTTGGTTTAATAGACAAGCTTAATGGTTCTGTAAATTAAGGCAGTAAATCAACATTTTCCATAAACTATGCTATGTTTATCAGAAAAAAAGGCATTGTGGCATTATGGAGCGCAAAAAAAGAATCCTTCAAATAATCAGCATAACATTTTTACTCACTGCAAGCAAGTATTCCAGTCTCAGGATGTCTGAATTCAGAATAGAGGGAGCAACTGGAGGAATCTTCAATGTGTTTCCATTCCACCTGCTGGAAGTGTCAGATGGCACTTCATTTCCTCTAGCACTGGCAACCACCTGTTTGATGCTTTTTGTTTTACCCTTGCATGTATAAGTCTGTATCTGGTATATCACTGCTTTTGGCACAACTAGACGAGATGAGCAGTTTTCAATCAGAGCATAGATTGGGATTGATTCTCCTGGAGAAGAGATGAAAAATAGTGTGTCACAAGACAAAAAGCTAATTATTTCAAATAATATACTTTTACTGCAGCAGATTTGAAAATTGAATCAAAAGTTTATCCAGACTTAAAACACTGTTTAAAAGTTTGGGTTTGGTAAGATTTTTTTATGTTTTTGAACATGCCCTGTTTTGAACAGTCTCTTATGCTCAGCCACGCTGCATTAATCTGGTTATAATGTAGTAAAAACACTGATATTGTGAAATATTATTATAATAATAATTATAAAATGTTATACATTATTGTATATAATTTATTCCTGTGATGGCAAAGCTGAATTTTCAGAAGCCATTACTTCAGTCATCAGTGTCACATCATACTTCGGAAATCAATGCTGCTTCATTTTTTGAGAAAACTGATAAAAAAAATTGTTTCCAGTTAAAAAGAACAGCACTTATTGAACTACACATTTTTTGTAACAAAGTAGAAGTCTTTACTGTCATGTCACTTTTTATGCATCCTTGCTAAATAAAAGTATTAATTTCTTTCTGTAATACAATTTTAAGTTTAAGTTTTAACTTTTGAAGGGTATTTTAGGTTAACAAAAATCTCAATATTCAAATACCATCATCCTGACACACCCAGAAAGCTCATAAAAACATCATTATGTTCCCTTACCATTGCAATAACCTTGTCGGTCAATGCTGGCAGTCAGTGAGATGGGACCAGAAGTAAAGATCCAGCAGCCAATCATCTTCTTACAGGTTTGTGACACTGGAGACTGTAATAGCAACTCTGAGTCAGAGGTCAGGAGGATGTTCTCTAATGCAGTGCTTCTTTGCTTCTTCTTTGCTTTACATTGGACATCAAGTAGTCAAAATAATTAGCCTAATTATTTTGCCCTTTTTACTACACAATTATATGATTAGTTGCATATTAGCATTGTTTTTCCCTACTGCCACTGATTCCAGTTCAGAACAATTGTACATTCAGTCAGAAAATAGTACTTCTATTTGATGTCAGTGGTGTAATGTATTCAAATTCATGTGTAAATGAAAATAGCTTTTTCAATGCAGCTTCCTGTCAAGGTATGACCTTCTCTATGCAACCTCTTGAGAGTTCATGATTACTAGTCCCACTTACCATCACATCATATCATTACAGGTCACACACAGTCTGAATCTATGAGGAAATAACTTAAAACTGGTCACAAAATGTTTTTATAGAGTATGGTCAATATGTGTATAGTATGAATGAAGTCTGAACATTCTACATCCACAATCCTGGCTTGGTCAAGTGACTTACAGCATCAGTTGTGTTGCTTTACTGCCGTTCACGGCATAGTAAATTGTGGATTCACACTTTTTTATGAATACCAGGAATTCAGACATACTACTCATTTAATATATTGTTTTTTGCTTACTATATATAGGGAAGTAAGCATTTTAAAGAAGCAGAGTTCAAGAAGATCGCCTCCAGAAACAAAATATGTGGAAATGATTACATATGGGAAAAGAGAAGGCATTTTTGACATACTCACGATTAATGTTGGCACATTGACATCAATATGACTGATGATGCAAAGTTCTCTGTTAACACGTTGACTCTCATGGAATGACCTTTTTAAAACTGCCTGCACCATGTAGTAAACACGGCCATGTTTTCCAGAGAAAGAGGAAACCAAAGGACTAGGAGACAATAACAAATTGTCAGTGCTCTGAATAGGAGGAACACAAAAGAGTTTATATTGAGAGTGAGAACCACAATTAATACAACAGAAATGTATATTTCTCCCGAATACTCTTTACAACCTTGATGTTAGGTCTAAACACAATATAAATTCATAACACAATATATATGGTTGTTTACATGTGTGTGTATTGTTAACACTAGGGCTGTAAGCCCTCAGAAAGCTAATCTGAATTGACCAAGTGGGCCCTGCATTCTCGAACTGGGCCCCGTTCAATGCTTGAGATGGCCCTGCTTAACATGCTAAAAATCAAACATTTGCACTTACCTTTGAGGTAGTTGCAGATCAAAAGGAATCTCATATGTACCACTATCAAAGAAGATGAGGTCTTGGGTACCTGATAAATCAAACTGTACTACATGAATTGATTCGAAGTCAATTCAACCTGTCACACTTCAATCATCACAAATATTCACGTGTAAAAGATGTTCAGCATATATTGCAGGCCTACCTGTTGTCGCAACATGTGTCTTGGATAAAAAGAGACATTTCCTCTCTTCGGAACAGCGGGATCGTTTATGCATCCAACTCACCTGAGCATAACCCTTCAGTAAAACTTTTATGGTTTTGACTGTGGTGGCTTCCGAGAGTTTGAGAGAAATATGTCCAGACACTACTTCACCAGAGCAGTAACCATCTCTCTGCTCGTTGTCAAGAATTACATCTAGTGATTTTACTTCAACATGTGTCATCTTGGTTTCTGGAGAGTAAATGCGCGTACATTATGTTGTTTATCTCGTTGCAATCGTGAATTTCACACACACACACACACACACACACATACACATACACATACACATACACATACACATATACACACACACACACACACACACACACACACGCTGCAAAAAAATGCTTTTCTAGCTTAGATCTTTTGTCTTGTTTCCAGTCAAAATATCAAAAAATTCTTAAATCAAGAAGGATTTTCTAGACAGGTAAAAATTATTGTCTTGTTTTCAGAAAAATCAAGTCAAAATTAAGTGAGTTTTTGCTTGAAACAAAGGAATCTGCCAATGGGGTAAGAAAAATAATCTTGTTTCAAACAGAAAACAAGATTATTTTTCTTACCCCATTGGCAGATTATTTTGCTTGTTTCAAGCAAAAACTCACTTGAATTCGACTTGTTTTTTCTGAAAACGAGATAATAATTTTTACTTGTCTAGAAAATCCTTCTTGATTTAAGAATTTTTTTATATTTTGTCTGGAAACAAGACAAAAGATCTAAGCTAGAAAAGCATAGTCTCTAGCTTTTTTTTCTTTGTGTGCACACACAAAGAAGACTTATCTAAACACGTGTCTAACATTTCTGACTCGTCTGCTGTTTAGGTGATATTTTGGTTTAAAACAAATGACATACATTTACTGTTTGCCAAAATCAAAATAACTTTATGAGGACGCATCAACAATATCTAACAATGTTTAAAATACACTACATAAATAAACAAACATTACATAACCTTTTAGAGAGACTTCTCACTATGCAGCAGGACACGCCCTCCATGCAATATGTGACTGGGGTTGTTTGCAGGCCACGCCCATTGTTCATTTATATGTGGCAATTGGCTGATTTACATGTCTTTCAGGCACTATCCCCTCCCATCTAGATATCAGAAATCACAGTACAGAAATAATAATATAATATAAATATAGAAAATATAAAAATAAGGAAATGAAGGTTGGAGTTAAATAAAAGTAACCTCTGTCCAAAAAAAATAAAAAAATAAAAAAATAAAAAAATAATATATATATAAATTTAATAAATCTAATCTAATATTGTAAATAATTACATATTTCATTTAGATAATACACATTTAGATACAAAATATTGAATATTTTTATGGACCGAATCCTCTCAAAAAACATGCATATGAGATGAGATTAGGTCAGCAGCACCGCAAATACATTGTTTTGATTGGTCATTTTCTGACTCACAGCCAATCAGCATTCATGCAGCCGAACTCGTTGGTTAGTTCTTCCTAGATGAATCTGGAAATCTGTTGTGCTCTTCAGAGGCGTTTCTGACCCCTAGAAAACGCTAAAGAACTTTCCACAGAGCTCTGTCAAAGGTTTGTTATTATGTTCCCACTTGTTTACAGCACAAAAGTATATTCATTTAGCTGCATTGTTTCGTTCTTTACGTAGCAAACAGACTATGTTTGTAATTGTACTCATGCCCACCACTTTCTGTAAAGGTATCCATCACAAATGAACAGAAGCCTCTGAAGCCTTTGTATGCAAGTCTTACATTGAAGTATGGTATGTATCACTATGTTACTGATAAACATCCATTCAGACAAGTACACAAATATATTTACATAGTTTTAAGGTGACACGGGATAATTTGTTGGGATTAAATGGTGTACAAGACTTTCCGGTCGAGATGCAGGTAAAAAAAAAAACACTTTTGTACTGACAGTATGGTGTTTGTTCTATAATCTGTTAAAACCACCTCAACTCTCATACTTACCTTGGATCAGTGAATATCCCACCTTGAGGATGTTAGAATATATTTTCGAAGTGTCTTCTCTTTATCACCACCCAATGGTGAGTATGCAAACCTACAAGACACTGTCTGCTGCACTATGTTCTCACTACATACAGTCATATATTCTCTAAAAAATGTACAGTTACCAGTGTTGATGAGAACATACTACTTTAAATCTTAGAAATACATCTCAAAATAATGAAAGGAATTCAGAGGAAGACACTAATTAAGTTTTTCCAGCTTCAAGATCCAAGCGTTTCTTTCCAGCTGCAACTCGAAAGATATTGCTTATATACTGATAGCCATATGAGATCTTATTAATTTGTTAAATCCACAAATGCAGTGAAAGCAGGGCTGTTAAACCCATTCATAGTGATGGCACAAGAAAACTGCACCAAATGCGGTAGAAAGCAGTAACTTTTAGATGTACTGCATTGTTTAATAGGATTATTCAGCATGAGCGAAAAGGGAGGTCAGAATCAGGTCATTGCATGCAATAATCTCAGTTACAGGCGCCATCAGTACAGAAAATGTGAGGGTTTGCAGTTTACCTAGGTGGTATGCGAGTTGTGTGTGTGTGTGTGTGTGTGTGTGGTGCGTGGACTGCTGCAATCTCCCCTGTGGGCGAATAGATTCGAGATGACATGTTCTCTGCTTCCATGCTGAATGTTCAGTGAACTTTCTGGCACAGAGGCTGCCTCTAAAGTGGGTTCAACCAGAGGTTAATATAAACAAACAGCAGAAAATGGAGAGCCAGGGATTATTAAATGTTAGGATGACTGACAAATCCCTCATTGCTATTAGCCCCTGGCCTTCACCTATGCCCCGCTTTACAAAAAATACTGTACCGTGGCTCGACAATTTTCTTTCTTTTTTCTTTTTTTTTGACAGTGGCGTGGTTAGTGCATAGAGTATTTGTAATGTGTGGTCAGACTGTGAGTCACTTGACCAGAGAAAGCTTTTGCCAAAATGTCCCGTCGCTACGGATGAAAGATTGTGTGCACACATTTTAATGAGTTTATAAATATAAAGTGTTGGGAGGTGTTTATGACAACCGAGGTGGCCATCATCTAGCACATCATTTCTTGATGTAGCCTAACTATTCTTATTATGAATTATATTTAGTGGGCATCCCTGTATGTGACAGATTTTTTTTAGATTTCTGTGTTTGACAGTATCATATGTTGGGTTCAGGGTACTAAAAAATTATAAAAGAGAATATAACTATTTAAAATGGTATTGAAATGATTGCAGTTCTTGATCTAAACTAGTATGATGAGGATGTTTAAAATGTTTTTTATTATTCCCTAAATTTAATTTAATTTTATTATTTTTTATAATACATAACACACAATACATAAACAGCTTAAAACAGCCCTTGTTTAATAGTCTTTTCCCTTACACTTTGACAAGTTTTTCAAGTAAATAAAGATCATAAAGAGAAATGAAAGGAGACAATAATTACATTCAGAGCAATAATAACAGTGCTCATATATGAATGATCTTTTCTTCGTATATGCGTTTTTGAAAAGTACTTTTTCCCCCATGTTAGCAAATCACATGTACTGCCCTCTTGTGGATAAGCGATCAAATTGCAAGCAGCATAAATAAATTGGCCATTTTCTACTTTTTGTGATATAACAGACACACCTCACCATCCACCATCAACATTTGCTGCTTGCATTAATGAAGCAGTGAGAGTTTAGTCTGTTATCTACAGCTGGGTAAACTTTAATTGCTGCTCCAGCTTTGACAAATTGGGTATGGAACATGATTGTGTGTGCTTTTAACAATATCTGCAGTGCTCCTTTGAAATTTCTGCTCATATGGAAAGAGTTAATTCAAGGATATGAATTGTCCCTGTCCAAGCAGCTGAAATTTATCACTGCCAGCGCCAATGTGCAAATTTTGTGATGTCGGCAGTGCATTGTTAACAGTGATTGTCATCTAATTAAATCGTGGCTCGTCACAAGAGATGATTTTTATGCTGAGATAAGCATTGGGAGTCTACTCAAGCATTCCCAAGATCAATAAAGATGTTCCCTTCTGGATTACGAATAGTCTGAGGGTTACATGGGGCAGAGGAATTAATTAGGAAAGAATTCTTATATCCCCCCATAGACATACTTTCATAGTTGGGTGGTTGAGGTGGGAAGAAGGATGTTTAAATGGTTTGATATCAGCTTTCACTCTGCTTTAAATGCAAATGTTTAAAATAAAGCATCAGGAAAACTTCTTAATCCTAATCTATCTCAAGCAAATAGAAAAAAGTGAAACTAATTTTAAGTTATGTCTCCTGCATGTGCTTTGTATCTATTCAAAGGTACTGCAAATATAAAAACTATCCAAAAAAAATCATAATTTACAAAACAAGCAATACATATTAAATGATATACAAATATATATATATATATATATATATATATGTATACACATTTCTATATGTGTGTGTGTTGAACATTTTTTTATATAAATGTATATGTATGTATAATGTAATGTTTGTTTATATATATATATATATATATATATATATATATATATATATATATATGTGCA